TATATATTTAAATTATATATATTAAATTCATTTTCACATATTTTCCGATTTCTTATAACAAAGTGATTTAAATGATAAATTTATACATAATTCATATTGTAAAATAAGATATAACAATTAAAAATAGAATTATTAATTTTTTTATAACATGGAATTAAATAAATTATCAATTTACAATAATAATTTAAAAAAAAACAAAATAGAACATTTACAAAATATTCGTAATTTTGATTTTACTGACTTGTTACATTGAATGAAAAATAAAATTATTGAAAATATATTATAAATTGTTAAAAATGATATAACCAGTAAATAAGAAAAAATAATATTTTGACATTTTCTTAAGTTTATGTTTAAAATTTAAAAAAAATTCCCTCATTAACGGGCACCGCAATAGGAGCGCAACTCCTCTGTCGTGCAAGATTTTAGGCAACATTCTTCATGAATTCCTTTAGAGTTTCTTCGAAATCGTATCATTTTTTTCGCATTTTTAATAGATTTATAAGGATATAGATCGTAACCATAAAATGCCATATAATCATCCATCTCCATTTCTGGAAAAAAATTGATTTCTTAAATATTTAAGATCAAATAAATAAGAAGAATATGATATTGAATTGAAAATATTTAAATTTTTATAACTTTCCTCCATTTTGCATCAATCAATAATACCAACTATAATTCTAGTAATTTTTTTTCTGTTTTTTTTTTAATAAATAATTTTTGAAATATTTTTTAATATCAATATATTGATATTTACTTACCTTGGTTACTTTTTTTAAATCGAGAATTGTAAACACTTCCACACATTATTTGTAATGTACTCGATAAAGTTCGACCACAATATTGGTGCATTTCTGTCACTGTCTGTCCCTTTTGGCCATACTGAAACACATCCGATCGTACTACTTCTGCTACTGGCACTAGGATCACTACTACGGGTACTAAATTTACGAACACGTATAATCGATTTGCAAACATCTAAAAGCAAAGCAATTTTTTAAAAATTTTTTATATTTAGTAAAATTCAAAGACTATATGATAGAATAAAGAAATATATAAGGAAAATAATAAGAATATGCTTTTATTCTTATTAACAATGTATAAGAAAAAGAAAATCATATTATATTATAACAGTATTAATATAGCATAGTATAATACTATTAATATAACATACAGTATTATCATAATAAGATTAATGTGATATTCAAATATTAATAAATCAAAAATGTCAAAGAATTGCGACATTTATCCGTATAAAAAGAATATTGATAGAATCTTTCAATGTATAGATGTTAATAAATTAAACTTAAAAGTGAACACTTATACGGGTGGACTCGAAATTCAAATATCTTGGTGGATCCTCAAGAGTGTCTATTTAAATCGCTTTTATTAACCTTTATCACAACTTATCAAGAATGATGCCCCATGCTGCTGTCGCGTACCAGTCGCCGAGTAACGACCTATTTTTAGATATCATTTGTGCAAATATAAATCTCGTAATATAAATCTTTTCATGTTAAAGTCCTAGAATAAAAGTTTCTTAAATATCCTATGAATTTTGATATTCTTATTTTTTTTTTTATATATGTTTTAAAATTATGAGAAATATATTTTTTTATTTCTTTCTTTTTTATTTTTTTCAATTCTTTATTTCTTTTTCGTTTTTATCAAAATTTATTTCATTTATATAGTAAATAAATAAAGAGATTAAAATAATATACAATTCTTACAATAATTAATATAATAATAATATATTATATACATAACACATTTTAATAGAAATTTGTAAATAAAAATCTACAGAAAATCGTGGGAAATATTAACAAAGGTTTTTATGATATTAATTATTATTATTGAGAAATAATTTATAATAATGAAATATTTATAACATATTGATATAATTTTTTTCAGTAACTAAATATTATTTTTATTTAACTATTATTTTTTTAAAAATAAACTTTATAAAACTTGAAAAAATAAAAAAAATATATAAAACTTTAAAAAAGTATAAAGAAAAAATATAAAACTTTAAAAAAAATCTTATGAATTATTACAGTTCTTCTCTTTTGATTAAGAAATAAAATTTTATTATCGTAATTTTTTTAATTAACTATTTTTTCTAAATCCAATCATAGTATGATTTTAATATTATAAAACCATAAAAAAATTAAATTTTATGAAAAATTATTTTATATAAAGATATAAATTAATTAATTTATTAATTTATTATATATGATAAGATAAAAATCAATATCGTATTATTGTATTTATACATATATAAATGTATATATAAATATTATATATTGAGATATATTCTCTTTAAAGTAAAAATATGTTATAATTGGAGCATTGTATTTGTATATAAATGAGATTAGTCATTTTATTGTAAAGTAACAGATAAACCAATGAGTTGTTTATGAAAGATTATAGCAGGTTCGCGCTGTGTACACATTTCTGTAAATAAATATTTATTCTCGTGTATTCTTTATTTAACATGAAAATGCATGATATAGATATATGATATGAAACATCATGGAAATTATACTGATATCAAAAATAAGATTCGAAAAATTACAATTCGAAAATTACAATATATGTATGCATATTTATTAGAGATATGTGAAAACATATAAAAATTGATGTTTTTGGAGTTTAATGGGATTTTTTTTAGAATCGAAATCGGATCCCCAAAAAATCACCTCAAAATTTAAAAATATTGGAAATCTAAATATTTTGAAATTATATTTATTTACAAAATTAAATTTTAATAAAAAAAAATTTTAAATTGATAGATATATTATAATTTTGCAAAAAAGAAATCATATACATATAGTTTGTCTGAATTTATTTTCAAAGATGAAGTTTTTACTTTGAATTGAATTGAATTTTCTCAAAGAAAATTATTTGTATAAATATTGGACAGAAAAAAGAATTTACAGAATTTATAGAGTTTTTAACATTTGTTTTATAATGATTATATTTATTACATTTGATTATTATTTTTATTTTAAATTCTATTCTTTATAATTTTATAATAATTCTCAAAAATTCTGAAATATTTTTAATCGATTTAATCCGATTTATTCTGAATATCAAGTTTTTAATATTTTTGTGTTCTTGCATGCCTCTAATATTTATATTATCATAGCTATGATAGAATAAATTTATTATTTATTATATTTTTGCTTCGTATTTATTCAACCCCAATAGGGATAAGAAATAAGTTATATTACTTATCTATCATATGCAATATTATTGATTCAAAATAGAATAGACAATGCTAATAAGAATTTTAATTAATAATAAGAGTTTTAAATCTATGATTAAATGTAGCAACAATCAATTATTATTGACACAAAAATTATCACAAATAAAAATACACATTTTATAGAACTTCGCTTATATCATATACTTATAGATCATAGCTTCAGATAATTATTATAAAGCAAAGGTAAAATTTATGTGATGCCATAAACGAGTAAAATAATGATAGATATTATTTTTAAAATAACTTATATTTATAAAATATAATTTAATTATTATGAAGTCTGAAATAGATATTTTATTTTTATTAATATATAATTTTAAATAATGCTCATTATAAAATGTATCTTGAAGATTTCGAAAAAATTAAATTTTCAATTAAAATTTTTGATTAAATTAATATTCAATGTAATTATTTCCTTATAACTTATTTTAATTTGAAAAAAATAGTAAACATAGTACACAGATATCTAGAGAAAAATTACTTATTTATAATTATTATTTAAAAATATAAAATAAAAAATAGTTTTCGTAAGTTTATTTCTTTCTATTCTATTATGATCTATTAATTTCTTTTATCAAATTAATAGATTTTTATTAATATCCGAAACATTATTCATCAACAAATATACAAGTTTTGTAAGTATATAACTACATATTTATATATATTAAAAATTCACATATATATATATATATATATAGCAAAATTTATTCTATTTTCCCTGTTTTAACACTCAAAAGAACATTAATATCAATTCTTATTTTATTTGTCTCTTCCATTATTTGCTTTTTTTATTATTTTATCTGAGACATTCTAGATTCTAGATATTCTATTATTCTAAAGATTCTCTAATTTTTATCTTATTTCTATTCTTTTTTTCATTATTTGTATTTGTTTATATTTCTTCCTGCCTTACTAATAAAAAGCAAATCAACAATTTGAAATTCCTATATTGTGTTATTTATTTTTCTTTTCAAAAAGAAATTGAAAAGTCATGTAAGTTTAACATACAATTTTTTATTATTCATTTTATACATATCTTAATATGTATATGTTTTTATTAAGCATTTGTAGCTGATGGTGCTGAGGTAGTGGCTTGTGCCTGTTGTTCCTCACGCATACGATCTTTTTTAAGTTGACCCATAAATGA